AATGAAAAGATCAAAGTCAAACTCTTACTCATACAAGAACAAAAACGTTGAGAATATACTTCCAAGCTTCATAGAATCATAAGCTTACACTTGTAAGAAGAAAGAAAGTCCTACAAGGTATTTTAGATTGAGTTGTATTACAAACACATTCTCTCTGTGAGAGTTATCATCTAAGACTTGTAAAATTAATTGTACATTTTGAAGAGAATTTAAACACTTGATGGTTAGCTCGGTTGAGTTAAACACATACTGAACAGTTGTCTAGTGGAAACTAGGAGTGGGTAAACTTAGTTCTAGTCAGCATAACTAGTGTTACCAAAATTGACTAATGTAACCAGGAGTGATGCTAATACTCAATTCTAGTCAACATATTAGGTGTTATCATAATTGACTAGTGTAACCAGGAGGGTGTTAATACTCAATTGTAATCTTGTTGAAATTATAGTGGAACCCTCTAAGAGGTCTTAGAGGAGAACTAGACGTAACTCAACTGAGTGAACCAGTATAAAATAATTGTGTATTTATTGCTTCATCTTTACAAAACATATTATTTATAAACACTGCAGTTGCTTGTGAAGTTAACCATTATAAAGTTAATCATATAATACATTTATTTATGGTTTTTGGTAGATCTTGAAATACAAAGAATACTTGTGAGAATGAAGGTTTTGTGGATATATGATTTGATGAGGAGGTTAATCATGTGATTGAGGTAAATGTTTAAATGAGGTATTTCCTATATGAATGAAATGTGATATATTGTTGGATGTTATGATTGGTTGTATCGCCATATGATTCCTAAGGAGGAAGGATGCGACATGTGAGTCTAGTGTTATGCATTTGTTATGGGCACTTATTTGGAAGTTATCCTAATACTCTACTAGACTCAGACTCATATAAAGGAAGGAGTTTATGTGGTGAAAAAGGGAAAAAGGTTCCTATAATTGGTCTTCAAGTCATGGACTTTATTTCTTTTAGGCTATGAGTGAAGTCACTTTGTCACGAGAGAGGTGGACCAAGTACCATTACTAAAATTGTAACACCAAAGATTTCATTTTTACATGACAAAACAAAGCTTATAGAGTATGAATGGATGCATAAGTCTGGATAGTTGAGTTTAGGCTATATTTATGTAAATGAATGAGAAATGAATTTTTGATATATGAATTGAATATTTGCTAGTTTGATTATAATAGATCTTTATATGATAATTGTGTATGAATGTCTAAGTTATCATTAGTTTACCCTTATTTGTTTGTTGGTTATTTGGTCTTTTTTTTAATGATCAATTTTATGGTACGAGCAAATGATTGTATATGTGGGGATGATGCTAGCTAATAGGTTGAGAGTTGAAGTTTTAGAGTTCTTTTGGAAGAATGTACGTAAAATATATTATATTGTGTGTAAGACCCGAGAAATTTAAGAATATTTAGAAATAATAATTGTATGAATTTATCATAATTTAAATGCGTTGGGTGAATGGATGTATATGGTAAAAATGATTGTTATTTTGTTATGACGATGGAGAGCTATCAAAAGAGTTAAAGAGGGGTTATATAGTTGTTTTTGCGTTATTTATTAGTTTGGAGTGCACTGGTCTAGTGGTGAAGTAGATCGTCCAGAGGTGCTACACATGAAGGGTTCGAGTCCTGCCTACGTCACTTATGAAATTAAATACCATTTATGTACTATCGAGCTCCTCGGGTCAAGCTGTTGGTGGTCCAAAGTGTTTGAAGAGGTCAAATTCTTTTAATTTTTGGCCTAGGTTGCTTAGAGTAGAGGTAGTGAGTGTTAGCCTTCAATGTCTATGTTTGAGAAGTTATGTTAGTGCATATCCCTTTTGTTTGGTGTGTGTGCCGTGAAGATGATGATGGTATGTATCATGTGAGTCATGCTAATTATTTTAACCAAATGTATTATGTTGCATGTATTATGTTGCATGTGTTTTGTTGAGTTATGTTCATCCTTGTATTCGTAAATTATTATGAATGATTTTAGGGTTTTAGGGTTTTTATGTGTTACATGAACATGAGACATGATTTATGTATTATATGATTTTATTGGATTATTATTTTGAAGGACTGAGCTGTGTACGGTGGAACTGGGTTATGTCGGGTTGTTATACAGTTAATATAACATTTGTTATGAGGTTGTTGGGTTATGTATATGTAATACAATGTTGATATACACCTATACCATGTTGTTAATAAACTATGTAGAGTTCTTTAGGGTTGTTTTGCATGAGGTTTTTGTGTTTAAGGGACGACCGACTTATATACATTGTTATTGTTGATTTCCATGCTTCCCATGTTACTCTAAATATGTTTTATGATTCTATTGATGAGTACTTGGTGTGTTTCCGTGTTTCTGTGCCTTGATGGTCTATTTTAGGGAAAATAAGGTGTGAAATCGAGTTAACCGAGGTGTTTGGTTGTCCAAGTCTAGGATGTTTTAGACCTTGGTCTTGAGGTTCTTAAGCTCGGATTTGGACATTCTTAAGGTCGTTTTAGGGTTTTTTTTTATGCTAGGCGACCTTTTGGTGAGGTTGGCTGAGTTGTTTGAGGTATTGCTTGAATTATTTGTGTTTTTATCAAGCTGTATGACCATGCTGTTTGGGGACCTTAGTTTTGGGGTTCTGGAAATTATTTTTTAGTGCGGTTTAGGTCAACTTGGGGTTTTAACACCTAACCAAGTTGTCTATGATGTTGGCCGAGTTCTTTGAGCACTTTATCGAGCTGATCTAAGTGAGGCCGAACTGTTTAAATTACTTTCTGAGTTGTGTGATGTGATTGCCAAATTGTTGTGTATGTGCCAAGTTGTTTGGAGTGTTGATTAAATTATTTTTCTTTACTATTGTCTAATAAACCATGCTATTGTGTTAACTGTGTTTGAGACAGTGGATTGTTTGTCGTCTTATGTACTATTTAGCCGTGATGCGAGAAAGTCCTTGCTTTGGTGAGTATACATTGTTTTGGTGAACAAGCAAGTTATGCTTTGGTGCATGGCCCTGTTTTGGTGAACTACGTTGGTGAACGTGAAAGTCCTACATTGGTGTGTAGGCCCGATTTTGGTGAACTAATCGTGTGTGCTAGAGTACGGAAAACGACATATAATAATAGTGATTGGTGGTAGTGACATGATTTATCTGGATAAGAGTTTGGGTTAACAATGTGTTTTTTTATTGTGAAATGGATTGATATTATAAGCTTATACATCATTGGATAACTGTATTATGATAATTGTATTATCGTATGTGTTTTTTGATGTTGACGTAGTTAACGCACTGTTACATTTATGGTGATGGTTTTCACCTATGATGATTATATTTATATGAGAGCAAATGATGTTACAGTTACCGTTAGATGCGGTGTAAATCGAGAGAGTGATAAATTATTTTCGAAATTTTCAAACTTTATTTCTCTTATAAGTTGAAGGATTTTAATAAGATATTTCGGATTATACTGAAATTGTTTATTATTTTTGAGTATTAATTAATTTTATAACAACATAATGAGATTTTTAAATATTTTATTATGTTGTAATGATATCATAATTTTATTTATCTTAAAAGAATAATGTTCTTACACGTGACATCCTAATAGTCTTATTACTTTCGTAATGAAATCAAAGTGTTACATGGTATCCTTTAATAGTCTTGTTTGGTATGAGTGTGTATATTTCTTATATCCATAAAACCAATTTTTTATATACTTCACTTGTAATAATCTAAAATAGTAGAAATATTCTATCTTTTTCCAAATTTACATATTTAATTTTTTTATTATAGTAAAAAAATATTACTATCTATATAATTATTATATAATAACATTCTTTCTTTATCTTTTTAATTAATTGTTTTTAAATTAAAATTATTTCATTGTTAATTTTACATTTTACATAGTTATTTTTAAATTTAATCATTTTAAAATTAAATAACTATATATAATAAAAAAATTACATGCAAAATAAATAAAAAAGCCATCTATAAAAACTATAAAACTATTTATATATACTTTTATAATTATAATAATAATTTTATTATGATAAAAAGTGAACACACTTGTGTTCAGTACTAATAAATAAAATCTATTATTAAATTAATTTTAACAAAAAATAATTGTAAAAATAAATAACTTTCTATAATTTTGTTATAGATAATTTGTTTTTGCAGTGGTAATGTTTTTATGAGTAATTATTTAAATAGGTATTAGATAAAGTAAAATTAAAGAAAGTTTGTATATATTTATGTGAAATAATTTATTTTTTAATTATACAAATTATGTAAATAATCTAAATAACCCTTAATCAATTTTCTTGTTCTAAATGAATGTATTGATATTAAATTTGTGACTTAATTAAAGTTTAAATATTTGGTAAATTTGGATATTTTCGATTGATTCCTATTATTTCTTTTTGAAATATTAAAATGTTTTATACTTTTTATTTTGTCCCATCCTTTATTATCTCCATCAATTTTGTAGTTAAGGTAACTTTTATTATTAAATAAGGATGAACCAAAACAAAACAAAAGCTTTTCACTTACATAGAAGTTAAACAATTAAAATTTAATTAAAAAGTATAAATTTTTTGAATAATTAAAAAATAAAAAAATTAATAGAAAAAAAGAAATTTAAATAATATTCAATTAAAAACACGTAAATGATCATGGATTTATACAATTTATAAAGCCTCAATTTATTTATTTATTCAATAATTTATTTTTATTTTTTAAAATGTCCATTGCTTTGAGAAAAAAAAGAGAGGACATGATCTAATTATCAAAAAAACAATTTACAGAGGTTTTCTTTCCCATGAACCATCTTACTGTGTAGTGTACAAGTGTACATCTCTGTGTAAAATAATTGGAAAACTGAAATAAATTCCCACCCCTGCTTTGTGTTCTCCTGCAATGCGACGCACTCCTCCCTCGCTCCATTTCTCCCGCCACTGACACCGCTACCGCCACTGTCGCAAATACAGCAGCAGCCAACGCCGCCTCGATGTCTTCACGCCCATCCGTACTCTATCTCTTCACACACATTCTTATCACTGTAACAACACATTCATGCACTCAACATCTTAATTCTCACTCTGTATATTTTCGCAGCATCGAGGGCGCAGTAGGGGCTTCTCTAGCCGACCGTACTCCGGCGATGCGCACTTAAGGTCTGTCCGCGACGCCAATTTAGGCCTCCGGCGAGGTGAGAGTGGAAGCTTCGCGAACCAAACGGTGCATAATCAGAACCCCCCGTATAATCCGAGGCCTCATCCGCCGCCGCTTCACCATGAGCGGCCTCAGTTCCGTAATCGACCGTATTCCCCGCCCTTTCCGCCACATTTTCCGCAGTACGGCAACATCCTCCACCTGAGCACCGCCGACGTTTCGTCCGCAGACGCATCTCCGCAGCGGCCCTGATTATCGGGACTGGGAGCCTTCCCTGACGCCGCCTCCCTCCTCATTGTGGTAACCTCACTCTTGTGCTGCGCGATTGTGACTTAGATTTCCTACTTTAGGTTTAAGAAGAACCGAAGAAGTCAATTTTTGGTATGATACCGAATGATAATATTTTTATCACTGGCGTTTCTGCATTGCGTTGTTTAACGTGTCAGATTATGAAAACGTTATGTTGAGTGTTAGCTAGGAGTTATCGTTGATCAAAGCAATCACTAGCTTTTGGTTTTGATTTTTGAAGTACATGATTTTATTGTATCGAGAAATCAAAAGCCATCAAGAAACAATATTGGACAAATAGTTTGATAAATGGCTTGCTTTCGCATGCAAGTTTGACAAGTTTGATTCAAAGAGGAGGGCTTTTTGTTGGCAAGAAGAATTGTTATGTTGAGAATATCAATTTTTTTGCTTAAGGTGAGCGTGACATAAGAACTGATTGTCCATGCTGGAAAATGCTAACATTTGATAATTTGGATTGGCAACTGAGAGGAAGATACTCATTTCACCTCTTGTTACTCATAATTGATTGCTTTATCTGTCATCAGACTAATCTAGCTTATCCTATTTTTTTTACCTTTGGTCAGAGCGGTTTAAAGTTCTTTCCTATAATATATTGGCTGACTACCTTGCTTTGGACCACCGGAACAAACTTTATTTTCACATACCTCCATACATCTTGGATGGCAGTGGAGAAAGAGAAGCATACTTTTTGAGTTGGGGGCTGTGGTCAGCTGATATCTGTGTTTACAGTGTGCTTTGGTACATACCCTGATCTCGTTATGTTTAAATTTTATCATATTATGTTTTATATTTTGGCTTGTGGGATAATCATGATATAAAACACGGATTTTGTACTTGGCAATCACATTTTAAGATAAGACATATGACAAGAGCAATTTTCACTTCAGATTGTTAAAAACCGGAGATTTCTTTACCTTCAGAAGTATGCATGTTGCAACAATTTTTCAGTTTCGTTTAACATCTGAGCTTGTAAGAGTTGTACCGTTGGAATTTAAAATTTTTTCTTTTACCACTTTCGCAGTGGTGTAATATTAATTTTTTAACTGTGTTTGTGGCGTGTTTTGGGCTATCACTTGGAAAACTGGACTGTGGTAAGAGCACTATTTCCCTTTTTATTTTTTTTATAACATCCAGGAGGTTGATAGATTTCATGAGTTGGCTGAGGAGTTTGCAGCCTAGTTCGTGATTATCAGTGGCTCTGGAAGGTGGGTTTGAACTTAGAAGTGCCAATTTGCCGTTAAGGTTACATGACATGAGCTTCCCCATTCTGAAACTTTTTGTCACACTTGCTGCTCGTGGGCCTTTTTTTGAATATGCAGTTGGTTTTGCTCTTTCAGGCATGGCTTTTTTTTAGGTCTTGAACTTATTCGATGCTACAGATTATTTTTTAATGCTTTTGTGTTTTGGTTTTATCTCAACTGACATCGAATATCAGACATTAGATGATTTGTTTATCATTAAAAAAATGAAAGAACATATATATAGTACTCCCTATTCCTCCATCTCTGCACCTATCTGGATCCTTTTGTCATGCTCTTGTCATAGTAGTAATCAAGTTTATATTGTCGTTGATTAACAGTGACTATTAAGGAGATAAATTAAGATCTTAATCCTGTTCACATTTAAGTATCACTTTTTTACTAGCTCCTGTCAAATTACTTGTACTTTTATTGTCCTCTTTTGCTTTGAATGTTAAGGCAAAAATGCGTGTCCTCATTTGGTCCTTGGCCACTTAAGTTATATTCGTTGTTGATTATGACTAACAACATCCGCTTCAACAGGGATATATGTTACTAAAATTATGATACAGAAATACATTTTTTAATTTTTTTTTGGCTAGAATATTTTTTTAGTTTCTAAAATTTGGATTAAATTTTAATTTCCCAAAAAAAGTGATATTGTTAGTCCCCTCAAATGCTAAATTGAAACTTTACGGTCCCTCAAATTTAAAAATGATTTTGTAGTTATCCAAATTTATAATATTTGTTAGTTCCAAAATTTTACAAATCGGCTTTTAAGTCATCTAATTTGGAAATAATTATTTTTATTTTCAATGACGATTTTATTAAAAAATGTGTTTTGGCATAACTAACACATTTTAATTTGAGAAAGGACGATGTTTACCGTGGTTTGGATATCTTATTTCTCTTTCTCATTCTTTCCATCTTTTATCACTAATGATGTAGTCGTTTCCTATCTTCTATCATCTTGCTACATTGTCACATCACAATGACTGTAGTCCCTTCTTATTCTACCTCATCTATTCGTTGTTCTACAACTTGCCTCACGACGTCACAATGATGTAGTCCCTAATCTTCTACCATCTTGTTACAGTTTGTCCACAGTGAAGTTTTGACTTAGTTTTTATTTTGAGATTAACGTGTAGTGGTTGCCATATGCTAAAATTTGTGTGAATACACTGTTTCCTATTTCTTCACTAGATTTTTGGGGGTTTAGATTTGTGTTGGTGAAAACTTATTGTTAGTCCTTAAAAACCTATGTCCACAGATAATAAAAGTACAGGGGGTAAATATTTTTTTTTCAATGTTCTACCCCTTAGAGTCTTTATATGTAGAGTAGCTCAATGAAACAAAAGCTTTCAGCATTCAAATTAGAATGTTAGAGATTTTAACTTAATTTGTTTTTGAATTGTGTAGTGGCTAAACATTATAATTGAGAACTAAAGCTCTTTTAAATTGTCTGGGGCTAAAGATTTTGTAAATTTGTTATAACTAAACATTCAAGACTAAATTAATGGATCACGAAAGTTTGTAATGTTTCTCACTGGCTTTCACGATACTTTCGTCGGGATTGTTGGTCGACTGTGGTTGCTTCTCTACCGCTCTATTTTCTTACTTCTTTCATTCTTGATTTGATGTCACGACAAGTACGCACTTTCAGTGTGCCCTGATGCTGGATCCAAGAATAACCTTAAGCTAGAATTTCTGAAAGTCAAGGACTAAAAAGTAATTTTTAATTTGTCGTGCGCGGCCTGGACGTTGCAGAGGTGGAAAGTGTCAGTTCTCAAAATTGTGGGACTACAACATATCTTAAACCAAAAAGGCTATGCTCTTTACTTCGAGAGATATTTCTTACATTTGTGTCTTCATCATCTAGTTGATTTGATTGCGGCCTACTCTTCTCCGGTTCCCCTCCAATAGTAAGCAAGTTGTAATTTTGGTTACTGTGCAGTGGACTCCGCATTCTTCAGATAACTTTTTAGCAGTGTTTTTCTTTTTATATGTCTGTCCTCGTTCTAATTGATTATTTCAATTAAATTTTGAAAGAAAAATAAATAGTTGCGTGCATTATAAAGTCTAATAGCATTTTTCTTCTTATAGATGCGCACAGGTAATCAGTTGAGGGCTGTGCAAATTTTGGAAAAAATCAAGGTTCTTGTGCAACTTACTTTCACTCTGGATGCTACTTGCTGATTTATTTCTTAGTGGAATTTTGTTTCCTCAAATAATAACTAACTATTCACTGTGTTCATTGCAGTTTGTCAGTTTTGTTAAGGTTGTTTTTGGCCATGCAAAATTGTGGTTTCTTTTGCAATTGATTACTCGCACTGTGTTTTTTATCCTTGTTTATTTGGCTTATACAATTTATAGCTTAGAATGATCATATAAAAGTGTAGTATTCTACAATAAAATGATGGGTAAAAGTATGATGCATAACGCAGATTCCTGTCTTATAAAGATGTAATATCTTTAAGTTGTATATTGACGAGAAACTATTATACTTCCATTGTGCTGAGAGCAAATGTGTTTTTTTTTCAGGCCTTTTCTTTGTAGGTATTTTCTTTATGTGATCGTGTTGATAAGTGATCATCTGTATCATTTTGTGAATTATCTTTTTGTTATCTTATTACATTATTACTTTTCCCACATTTTTTTAGGGTGGAGGGCCTGATTTGTCCGGATGCTTCCATAACATTTGTTTGGATTTTTTTTATTTGCATGAAATAATCTCATTACCATGATTTTTCACAGGTTCATTTGTTATATGAAGAATGCATTGAGTTTAATAAGCTGGGGACTCAGGGACAATGTCGCCTCAGCTATGTGTACTGGAGGTACATAATGCTCTCTACTGTCATCTGCTTCGTTCATTTCTGTTGAGATAAACTGAGATGTTCATTATCTTTACCCTCATCCCTTAATTGACGTCCTTGGATTTCCTTCCAATATTTTCATCCTTCAGATCATTTATCGAAATGGATCTTTCCCATTCCAGGTAATTGCTCTCATTCTTTTGGCTAATTGGATTTGTGTATATCCTCGTTTAGAAAAATGCAAGAGTACCTATGCTTCATATGGATGCTTATCAAATCTGGGCAGTGGAGTGGTCAACCCAAAAATAATATAGTGGGATAGTTGCTGTACTGAAAGGCATATTCTATAGATACAGGACAGAGAATTATGTGCATGTAAATACTAAAAAACAAATAATTATCCTGAATTAATATATTTCCAAAGTTAGTATCAATAGTCACATTCTAACAAGTAACAAATAATTACCACGGAAAGGAAAATAGAGGAATTTTTAAAAAAAAAAACAGGGAGTTGTGGAATTCAGGAACCCAAAAACAGTGAAGAGAAAAAACAAAAAATTTAGTTGATTACATGCTTGGAAAGAGACTCGTTGGGGTGTAGGGACGGAACATAGACCTGTGGTTGTCAGAAATGGCCAGGCCTCAGCCACAATATTGGCAAGCTGTGGGTTTTTAAACCCTATAAATGTTTCTGTTTGGCTAAAGGTGGAAGGAAAAACCAAAGAAATATTTGAAAAATCTTGGAGACACAGAAATGGGGGCAAACATGAAACTTGATTCAGTAGGATGGCTGCAGCATTTGAGTTGTTGCAATATTGGCTCTGATCATATCTGTTCCCCCAAAACAGAGAGCACTGGGCATCCTATAGAAGCCTCAAGCCACCTGCCAAGGGTAGTGCTCTGATCTTTTATAGTTCCTGTAAGTTCGAACGGCTGGTTACTGCAACCATTTAGGAGTAGCTGTGCATAGTAGGAAGAAATACTGCCTTCTGATTGTTTAAACAGGGAAAAACACAATCTCTACTCTAACCCCTTAAGAAAAATATGTCTCATCCACCATCTCACCTGTCTCACAAATAGAGAAGACACAATTTTACAAAAGATTGAGAAGGTTACTGTTACATTCAAGCAAATTATTTTACTTTTTAACAATGAAGTTGAAAAAATTAAAATGAAACAATGGAATATAGTTTTAATTAAGCTTCAATATGACAGTCCGTCTTGCTTAAATAAGACATTGTGTTATGAATCAGGTTCACGTGAGTATTTTATTCTGTTTCCATATTAGAATGGTTGACAAGGTTGTGGGATTATTTGAGTTGGCCTTTGATTGCGTTAGGAATGTAGGATACTTGCAGATTTTCTTGAAATAAGTGAGGTGTTTCATTGCTTTAAGTGTTTTCTTTTCATGGGATATTTTTGCGTTCTCAGCATAATATTACATAACATATACGTCAATCTCTGTAGCTTGACAGGCTCTAGTAAAGTTGTGGTTTGTAACATTCATGTGCTTTACAATCCTAACAGGGGAGAAATTAAGCTTGGCCAGGTTTGCACTGCCTGCTTGACATGACATTTTTCCATTTTTATATGAAGTCATTTATGCATCTCTGATACTGTAAATTCTTCTTGTAATTGGCTTCCCCTTTATATTTAATTCAAGCAGGTTCGCGTGCTACTTGATAAGGCTAAAGCTGTTTCTAAACTCTGGAATGATCCTATAGTGATCTGTGGGGGATTGTAATGTACCCCAGGTTATTTTTTCTATTATGGTTTAGCATTTTCTTTTAGTAAAATGTTTAACGGCCTTTGACATTAACCATTTAATTCTTGTATCAGAGTACCGTATAAAACTTATATCGGAACAGAAGGTATATACTCTTTAGTTATCTCCCTATGAGTGGCATTTGAGGAAAAAATGACATCTTTATATTATTGCAGTTAGATCTATCCGGAATAGATAGGAATAAGGTATCAGGACAAGCTTCTGCAATTCCTGCATCAAAGCCCTATTATGGTCCTAATTCTGGGTAGACATTTTCATACGAGACATTTATATGGTGATATTTATTGTGTTTCTTGCTTTATACAAAAAATACCTATTAGATGTCTTGAAATTTTGCAGTGAAATATCTGCTACTGTCAGTTCCTTGCTATATTCATGAAGGTGTCAAGGAAGTTACTGAACAAAATAATTATCGATTGGGAACGAACAGGACCTGGACACTTTGGGATAATCAGTGTCTACTCAATCAGTTTGGATATGTCTGTTAAGTCTTCGTGTGCACATGTTGAGTGTGGAAAAGGAAAATGATTCATATCCTGGAAAAGATACTCAGGAAACTACTGTTGACCATTTGAAGATCTTTCGCGAAGTTGGTAGCATAGAAGAACAAGATGCTGCATATAGTAATGGTGGGCTCCATAATGTTCCTGTAAATGGTGATGTTCATGACATTACACCTGTGACCTCTTCAGCTCCTGAAGCTGTTAACAGTGAAAAAGCTGGGTTGGGAAGCAATGAACATATACCAGATGCTGTCCCAACTTCAAATGAAGAATTAAGCAAAAAATCCAACTTACATGTCCCTGAAGAGAATAAACTGGTGGAGTTTGACTCTTCCCCAACTTCTCTTCAGGAATGTCATCAATCTTTCACAAGGGTGATATTGATATTGAGTCAAAAGATCTTGACAATGCAGTAATTTCTCCAACCAAACGATCCAGCCAAACTTCAGCTTCCAATACATTGGAAGTCCATAGTACAGAGTCTGGTGATAGCCCATCTCATGAGGAAATTGCTGATGACCAAAATAAAAGCTCATCAACTGCATATCTAGGTGATAAATCACATCAAAACTTTCCACTTGATGAAAAAGAGAAAACAATTTTTGATGAGATAGATAAAACATTGAGTTGAAAAATATTGGTGGATTGACAGCAGTTTGGTAATCTTCCTTACATAATGCTGAAGGAGTGCCTCTTGACATCGTTCATCAATGAAATCAGATTTGATAAGTCCTATCAGTACACGAAATTAAATTCTGCTTACAATTTGTTGCCTGTAGAAGGCAATGAAGGGAGGATAAGTTGTCTCCTCGTCAGATTTCTAAATCTATTTGGGAAGGGGAGGCTACTTATAATCCTGCATTGTGGACCCCTAAGGAGATAGAAACTGCAACAGGAAATGAAGATTGCACCTTCTTGGAGCACCCTTTACAGCTTAGGAGCACATACGCCGAGGCAATGGTATATCTAAACAGTTTTACCTGCGCATTTCTTTGAACATTGTTATTTGACAGAACTAGGCACATCTTAACATTTTATTCCACAATACCTGTAAACTTGTATAATTGCAGGATTGTTCAGGGACCAGAGACCCCTACGGAGAACCCCTTGTGACCAGTTATCATAGGCGCTTCTCAGGAACTGTTGATTACATTTGGTAGGTGCTATAAGCTGTTCAAGTTTACCTGTCACTGATTTTCTGTGCCATGCTTCTAATTTTATTTTGAACTACAAAGTGCATGCTTCTGTACACAGCATACTTTTTTTCATTGACATTTACTGATTTATTACTTTGAATTTTAGTATGCATCCAACTTTTTGCTGTAAACTTTTGTTTAACTAAATGAAAGGAGTTAATAGGAATGTTTTTTTTCCTTTGATCTGTCACTCAGGCGATCTGAAGGTCTTCAAACAACTAGAGTTCTTGCTCCGATGGCTAAACATGCCATGGAATGGACTCCAGGATTCCCAACCAAGGTAAGAAAACCTAGTTTTGTCTGAAATACTGCATGATCTTTATTTTCATCATGTCCTCAATGACCTTCATCACTGTCAGCCATTGAAGGAACCTCCAAATCATTCATAGGTGCAGCAACACCACCTCTAGCATCTTCATCTCTCCAAATTCAACTAAGATGTCTTCATCTGAAGCATCAAAATTGTATTTGCTTCATTCTATTCCGTAGTTCATTCATAGTCAAAAGCAAGATCATCAATGTCATAGTCATTTGTTTTCGTAATATCCCTGTTGTTCAATCTTGAATTAGCCCACAAGCACCGCATCAATCATGGTCTTTTGCTGTAAACGATTCTTCTTGGTGTGGACCTAAATAATTGTAAAATTAATGAACACATCATACTAGCCTACTAGGTGGTACAGGTAAATAACTATAAAATCAATCTCATAAATTTAAATTCTTACTGGAAGAAAAGAGTGAAGAAAAAAAAAGAAAAAAAAAGAAAGAAGAAGAAAAATAAAACAAAAGACAAAAAACAGGAGAGAAGAAACATAAAATAAAATAAGAGAAGAATGAGCGGTGGTTGTTAGTGTATATATTGTAGTCAACTATAGTCAACTTGTATAAATAGTCAGACTTGTACAACTGTAGGTTTCTTTCATTGTATATGTTATTTTTTCATCGTACAACTGTCACCATGAAGCAATCCATGCCTATAAATATCTCTTGTACGTAACATTCAAGTGGGAAATCAGATAATAAAAAATATTCTGTTGTTTAGTTTTTCCCTCTCTTTTATCTGTTAATTTTCTAAGATGGTATCTAAATCTTGTTCTTCAAATTCTTATTATTCTGACTCTTCTTGCTGTATTCTTTGGATGGAAACTGTTTTAGCTAGATGTTAGCAATGCCTTTCTAAATGACTTTCTTGAATAAACAATTTATATGACTCAACCACCTGATTTTGAAGTGAGTGATAAGACTCTTGTTTGTAAATTGAATAAAGCTCTCTAGGCTAAAACAAGCACCTTGTCAGTGGTTTCGCAGCTTGCAAACTATTCTTCACCAGATTGGATTTTCCAGTAAAACTTGTGATTCCACTCGATTCGCTTACATAAAACATTTGCAGGTTGTTTATTTTTGGTTTGTGTGGATGATATTATAATAGCAGGTAGCTCTGCTGAGCTGCTTTAAGACATTATGTCCTAAGTTAATGCTATTTTCTCTTTGAAACAACTGGGACAACTTGAAACTTTCTTGGTCTTGAAGTTAAATACTTACCTGACAAGTCTGTTCTAATAACTCAAACCAAGCACATCCGAGATTTGCTTCATAAGATGCATGACATAAGCTCATTCTATTTCTTCCCCTATGGTTACTAATTGCAAATTATCTAAACATGGAGCTGATTTGTTCTCTGACACTACATTATATCGTTTAATTGTGGGTGCTCTTCAGTATGCCACTCTTACTAGACCAGAGATTAGTTATGGAGTGAACAAAGTGTGTCAATTCATGACTAAACCTCTTGAGTCTAACTGGACCATTATTTCATGGTTTGCATTTTCAACCTGCATCACTTAACTGCTCTTTAAGCTTAAAAGCCTATTGTGATGCTGACTGGAGATCAGATATAGATGATCAAAGATTAGATTGGTTTTTTCAACCTGTTGCTTTAAATAAATCTTGTCTCTTCATAAATAAACCCCATGGTTTGTCAGAGCGGTGCAGCGGAATGGTTAGCATATACAACAAACCAAGAAGGGGGTGAATTGGTTTCTTATCGCAAATGATACCTTTAATAATTTGCTTGTATAAATTCAATTCTTTAATACCAAATTAAACAAATTAAAGAGTAAGGAAGAGAGAAAATTCATAGGTGATTTTTATACTGGTTTGGATCATACAATCCTACGTCCAATTGTTAATCTCAACGAGAATTAACGCTCTTCACTATCACAAACAACAAACTGTTACAATCCACCCAATTAAGAAAATTAAAGCCAGTTTAAGTTAAAACACCTCTTTTGGTTACCTCAAGAGATGGAAACTCACTTTCTCTGAAACCACAAGGGATGCAACACCTCCTCCGAATGCCTTCACGAAGAAAAACAACCTCATTTAAATCTTCACAAAGATGAAATACCTCCTTTGAATCTTCACCAAAGCATGAAGCTTTCAATCAGCAACAACAACAACACTCAATCACACCTTTTGTGAAAGTTCTCGCTCTAGGCCAACAACAAGTCTCAAAGCCACAACACAAGGTTACACAAACCGTAGAATACACTTATCAAAGCACACAGCTAAACAAATATGATGTTCAAAATAAACGTATTTCGTATTTTAGAATGAGAGTCTCAATCCAATTTATAGAGATCTCACTCAAGGATACCTCCAAAGATCCGTTGTCAGCTATTTAATGTGTGATAATCGATTATCCACTTATGGTAATCGATTATGCATTTAATGAATGTACAATGGTAAAAAATTCTCATATTGTTGTTGAGTAATCGGTTATGGCAAGTCATAATCGATTACTCGTTTATCATTAGTATAAAATGAGGTTTTCTGATTCAAAACGTTTTTTAACGCAACCTAAGGCAAACAATACAAAGAATCAAAGATAAACCACATCCTATACATAAATCTACTAAATTACAAAAGCTTTAATATAAAACAAGTCTTCATGAAGATCTTCTTGCAACAAGAACACTTGAGACTTGGACTTTGAGACATTATTCAAAACTTCTTCTCTTCAGGCTTTATGCTAACATGGTTGATTTTCTCATCTGAAATCCACCATACAAAACACCTTAATTAGGGGAAGAACAACCCCTCCTGCAATTCAAAATATTTTTCCAAAATCCCTTGTTTAATATCAAATTTTGTACAAGTCCTTCATCTCTAGTCTTTACAAATTTACTGGATTGCCACTCCTTGGATGTGAATATCCTAATAAGTGATCCTTTATTTTCATTCGAGCATCCCAGTCATAAGAAGTGGAAATGGTGGTCTTATCAAATCTGTCCCTTTAGTAAATATGTGCAACAAGGAAACAAGATTAGTTTTGATAGAAATGTAGCTTGTGATTTCTTACGTTCACTAACTTTTCATGTGGAGTGGTATTTCTTCCAAATCTTCCTAATCAAATTATTACAGTGAGATGGACAAGGTGTCCTAGATATAACTTTTGTCTCTTTTGCATTAACAAGTCTCTAGCTGCCTTGTAATTTGCTGCATTATCAATTGCAATTTGGATGACATTCTCTTCCCCGGTATCCTCAACATCATCCATCATCCTGAAATTTTTTCACCTGTCTTCTATATCTCAGAAGCATCAATAGACTCTAGAAGACAGTCCCTTTGGACTATTTACCAGAAAATTAAGTGTGGTCCTTCTGCTATCAGTCCATCCATTTGTCATTATTGTGCACCCATCTTTCTACAAAACAGCTATGTTCTTCAAAGATTAGATTGGTCTTAACCCGTTGCTTCAAATAGTTTTTCCTAATATCATGGTATGAACGTAGTTCTTAAATCTGACCTGATATTTGGCAACCAAACTCAAAGCAATCCTCTTGTGGACTCTTTCACTCATTTGCAAATTAAATGAATAACTTTATTGTAGAAAAATAGAGCAATTACTTGACATGCATCCTTCCTTTTTAACCATTTTCTTGAAAATTGCATTAGATTATAGGAGTTTGATTGTCCCTTTTCTTGAAAATACTTGATGAGTCCTTACTCACAATATTTGCATTTCATATTTCTTGCTTTCCCATCAATTGAAACTTCAATCGATCAATCCCACCTATTAATTCTTTTTCACAATATTTACATTTCACATTTCTTGCTTTCCCATTAATTGAAACACAATGAGTGTAGGCAGGAACAATCTTGGTTCCAATTCCATTTCTTCTTCTAGGAGCGTCACTTGAACCACCTGATGCCATTATTTCCTTCAAATTCTAAATAAAACTAAACACGCCAGCAAAAATAGAAGCAAGTAGAACACCAAAGAAGGATAACAAAATTAAAGTGAGCCCTAATGACTGCGAAGGCAACCACCACAATGACTGGTCCTGACTCATGAGTGTTGCAATGTGACATGTGTGAAGCTCAGCATGAGTGCTCTGATTGTTCTGATGATGGCAGTGATGACGTTAAACAAAAAGCAGCTCAACAACACTATGAGCTCAATGTCAAGAGGTGTGTATGCTCTTGCTGTCATAAGTGTTGGGCCTTTCTGTTTAGGTCGACTCATTTTTTAGCCAACAATGGGATGTCAAAACCTATAAGCCTTACATAAGGGTCGGAAGGATAGAAACGGCCCATGATCCTGTCATTGCGATCTCGCTGCTATCTGTTCCTCCTGCAATACCAGTTGTCTACCTCAGCTTGTGGTGTTCTTCGTACTTGTAGGGCCGTGTGAGTTTACTCACGATTTTGACAACATTACCCACATGTCAAATAAGAGCTTTTTGTTCATAAGGTTGTAACCTAGGAGGTGGATTCTTTCAGTAATGGGAGTTCGATGTACAGTGGGTGGTATCATATTAGACCTCAAAATAAGAAAGTTTTGAAAAAACCCTAAAGTTGCAGTCTGCCATTCACTCTGTTCCAAAATTTAGAAAGTAGTTAAGTCATCATATTAACCGTCCATGTTTAAGCGCCCAACCTCTCCTAATTTATCTAGTAGTTATAACTTCAGAAACTTATGACATCCCAGGAATTTATTTTGAATTGTACTTACTTCCAGCGCCATGCTTTTGACCATGCTTTGAACTTTTAAAGACCACACATGTCGTTTTACCATTTAGGTTCCATAGATATAGCCGTTAGTGTGTTGACAATCCTGAAACTTAGATTCCTTTCATGTTATAATTCTTCCTTGTCACTTCCCTTGATTTGCAAACTGTTACTTGAAAGCGTATAGTTTGTTATTTATTTTAAGCTTTTCTTTGCCTCTCAATGTACAGAAAGGTGGTAGTGATCATTTATTGCATGGTGACCTAGCTGGCTTTCATTGAAAGACTTGGTACCGACATCTCCACCAATGGTTTTTTAAATATTGCAGGTCATCAATAACCAGTTGGACTTATAGGGATCGTGTTAGTATGTCGATATGAGTTGCTGTTCGAGGCCTTTAAATTCAAACTCAGTGGTTGGATTATGCTACAATTTTCGCATCACTCACTTATCGTGATGGAAACAAAATCCCCGCCTAATTTGTCCCCTCTTGTAACCGTAGGATACATTTTAAAGGTTGCTTCTGCAATTGTTCTATTTGTAAATTATGAATTCATAATCCGATCCCAAGTCACTTCCTGTACCATTTAATAAATACAATTAGCGCATGATTCTTCAGATGTCTTTTGTTTTTTGAGCTGTGTATATTAAACTGCTTTTAAGATGGATTTGAATCTGGTATTTTTCTCACAATTCGGAGTTTGTAATTTGCTCTAGGATAATGCTACCCATGGAACCTTCGTGATGCTCATTCTACAGTTTCCTCCACTATTGAGGATATCCTGAGAAAAGATTGAGGCGTTGATTTATGTATTCGTTAATTTAGGGAAGAATGTAGACGCTGTCTTTACAATTGTAAGCAGCATAAACTGAACATAATTTTCTTGAAGTGTAGGCTCCAAGTCACTTAACAACATGAATAAACTCTTTCATTGTACATGTACTAAAATCATACCACTTAATGCAATTTTCTAAATGAGTTGTATAATGAAGCAGATATTTAGATTTTATCGAATTAAAGTTTGGTTCCTTATGTAATTAGTTTAGGTATTACAATATAAGAGACTTTCTTTATAACTTCAATATGATATCCTACAAACACAATGTTTTATTTTATGAAAAACAATTTAATTTTTTTCCGTATAGAATTGAGTAGAAGTGGTCCATTAAGGAATTTAACATGCCCAATATATTTACCTGAAATTAAATTATACGTAATATTCATCGTATAAGATTTGTGATGGAGTTGCTCATTATTTTTCCCAATATTTTAAAAAAGTTGAAGCAAGAGTGTTTTTTTTCCAATAGCCCTAAAAATAGTTAATCCGGAATAACTTATTTCATCCGGTTACAATTGCAGCCCAAGTAAGAGCTGTGTTGGGTTTTTTTGTTTGTGGTTTAATGAGGTCACCTTCACTACTCTGTGTATACACCAACTCAATCAACCTATGGTTGGCCTCTCTCTTCATTGTGCAGTCATTTAAAAGGCGTTGGATATGTTTAAGTGGGAACTGTATTAAAAGAAAGGAAAATGATACTCACAACATTTTAACATCATTTACGTGTAATTATGTGATTGATCTATAT